CCTGTATTATTATTACTACATTTTTTCATGTTTGTCACCATAACGTTTCTAATTTATCTTTTTCCCCATTACTGAAAATGGTTGAGTTTTAATAATAATTTATTGCTGTACAATTTTCTATGACATGTCACTCTAATGCTGTTTTGTTTTGTTTTTATTTCTCATGCATGATGTCAAGTGTGACTGTTTTGTTTTGCTAGGCTTATGTGGGGGTGAAAGAAAGAAAGAAAAACTTTTGTGGGATGTGTTTGACGGAATGTCGGAGTGAAAGAGCGTTGAGGTATCTGGTGAACGAATACCCAGGTTGATGGTGGTGTGGTGGTATATTGTGTGTTTACTAGTTGAAGCTGTCGTTTTGTGTGTGTGTGTGTGTGCGAGCGAGGGAAGACAGCTCCGAATGCTTTTGTTCATATTTTCTCTGCCCCTCCACTGAGATCTGACTGTGTACATGTTGCCGTGGTTGAGGAAGTTACTTGCGGAATCAGGCGTGCGCGTGTATGGTTGCGAGAATGTATGTTTTTACGTAGACGTGTAAACTGGTTTCTGTTTCCCCCCACCCCAGCCTTCGTGTGTCTGTGGATTTATTGATACTACTAGCCTGGGAAATGTCGGGTGGTTGGGGTTGAAAAGTTCTCCTCAATGTCTCGCGTAAGGTGGGGTTCTAAGTTCTCAATGTCTCGTGTAAGGTGGGGTTCTAAGTTCTCTAATGTCTCGTGTAAGGTGGGGTTCTACGTTCTCTAGTGTCTCGTGTAAGGTGGGGTTCTACGTTCTCTAATGTCTCGTGTAAGGTGGGGTTCTACGTTCTCTAATGTCTCGTGTAAGGTGGGGTTCTAAGTTCTCAATGTCTCGTGTAAGGTGGGGTTCTAAGTTCTCAATGTCTCGTGTAAGGTGGGGTTCTACGTTCTCTAGTGTCTCGTGTAAGGTGGGGTTCTCAGTTCTCTAGTGTCTCGTTGTGTAACTTTTTCCCAACAAGAAATCCACAGTCTGAAGCCGTGTGTGTTGTGATGTGTGGGGAGACGGGAGCTGGGAGGGTTTCTGTGCACCGGTCTGTCTGTACGCAGGTCTATGTGTCAGTCTGTGCGCCGGTCTGTCTG